ATATTATTTTTATAAAATGCGATATAATTGAATGGCATACTATTAATTATGCAATTAATTAATTTGAAATCTCTGTATCGACGGTCTTTTATTATTACGTCATCATCATCATCATCATCAACAATTTCACATTCCAGTAAATGGTAAAATACGTAATTTTCAGTTCATATTTGCATAATCTTCAAATATATTAACAGTTTAGATTTAATAAAAAATGAAATGGTATAAGTATTTAAAAACAAAGCACAATTAAAGGCAGTTTCGTCAGTTAAGTTAGCGCAACCGCCCGCCTTCCCCGCAATTGTCCTTGCGTTTGCTACTTTTTGCTTGTTTTCATGATCAAGACCCTTAGTAACATATAAAATTTTATACTTAAAAGAAAGACATTTAAACCTATTTGTATTCTTTAAATTATTTCAAAGCCCATAATAGTTTAAGAGATATTACGATTTTAAAAATGGACAACGGCCTTTTGATGGAAAGTCAATGACTGAAGAAATTTTAAATAAGTTTTAAGTCATAAGCAACCCTAGAATTGTATGAGTGAGAGTACTATGTAAGTACTAAGGCACCAGAGTTTACAGGTAGCCATCCATGACTATGTCCGTCCCTTTCATTCTTACGAAAATATCATGAACAGTTACCAGAGGCGGGGATACTGAAAAGTTTACCTGACGCCCTAGCACGAAATATTTGATGAAAGTATTTCTATCCACATTGACATAGTAGACTTAAAGTCACTATGAAACTTGCGCGCACAAACATGATTTCGACGTACAGTGAACTATACTTAGACACCTTTACGCCCGTTAGAGCACTGCACAACTTCCATACAAATATGTCGATGTCGATATGAATACATTCTTTCAAATATTTTCTGCTTGTGCCTCAGAATAGTATTACAATTCAGCATTATTCTATCTCCTTCTTTCGCATTATAACGTACCAATCGGCATGTCTGAAAGACCACGCCCAAGGCGGGGCCAGTCATGAAACTAACTCGTAAAGGTATGTCAATTTATCAAAACTATGTCATCCACAACTAATTTACCAAGTAAAAATTACTTCGGTGAAACTTATTTTTCTTTAGGTCGATTAAAACTTCGTTAGTTCATCGAAAAAGGGTTTTATTTCCATAGATTTAAGACTTCGATTCAAACGTCCACTTGGAGGGAAAATAAATTATCATGCCACCATTATTCTTTTGTCTTTATTTCATTTATATTAAGTACGTATGTACATAATACATATGTCCAAGTCTTGATAAAACAAATTAAGGATTTTTTATTGGTCTTCTCTTAAGGTTCTCTCTCTAATCTTAAGGGTTTATACGATTGAATTTAATTACACTAAATAGTAAACCGAATCAACTCCATTACGCCAGACTAGCCGTTGCTTGCGTCTTCATTAGGATGAATTTAAAAGAAAAACAAACCGTGTCGGAGATTACCCGGAATAATCTCCGAAACAGCAGATTGTCTGTGGGCTAAATATTGCATAGAAGATGATGTTGTTAGTACGCATGCGCCTTTCAGGAGGAACACGTCAAGTCTCCTGAAAGATTACTAGGCCAACATGTATGCTGAGAAGATGATTTTTAGACTGAAAACTTGGACAGTGAAACTGGTGTGACAGGACGTGGCCAAACAGAGAGGTGGTTACTAGCTATTGCTTGCTACTTCCTCAGGGTGAAATTTAAACAGTAGCCTTTCACACTACCACAAAGATAAACTATTTTCTATGAAAAGTCTCGTCCAAATCGGTTGTTATTTCGGAGATTATCCTGAAGAAACGTGAACTTGTGAGACAGACGATAATTAAAAAATTGGTGTTTAAATATCTTTTATAAACTCGTATTCAATAGCTATGTATATAGAGATATTCTATGTAGAAAGAGCCAGATTGTCGATTTATTATTTAGGAGAGGTTGTTGTTAGTACGCATGCGCCTTTCAGGGCGACCACGTGGAGTCTCCTGAAAGATTACTCGGATGACATGTATGCTGAGATGGTGCTTTTTTGACAGAAAACATGGACGGTGAAACTGGTCTGACAGGACTGTGCCTAACAGAGAGGCAGTTCCTTTCTTTATTTATTACTTAACTATCAATTTTACTAACATATTTGTAATATGAGGTATTTCATCTATTTACGTTATCTAACTACTCATTTGTTATATTTATCTAACAATGACTTCCATATAATATCTTTAATATTAATTTGTTTTCTTCATGACTTACATCTATCATGGATCATTGTTTTTTAATTTGTTACTGGCTGTTGCACGCAAGTTCCTCGTTATGTGATTGAAAAAGTAGCCTATGTTACTACCGTATAGTTAAACTACTTTCAATGAAGTCTCGTAATAATAAGTTCAGCTGTTTTGGAAATTACCCGGAACAAACGCGGACTTATTGATAGACAGGTGATAATTAAAATGGTTTTAAAAATGCTTTTTTGGTATTCGATTCAATAACTCGACAGTCGTCACATTTTGTGAGGGGCATTATTTTATAGAAGAGCATGTTAGTACGCATGCGCCTTTCAGGACGTCCACGTGGAGTCTCCTGAAAGATTACTAGAATAACATGTACGCTGAGAAGATGGTTTTTATACTGAAATCTTGGACATTGAAACTGATGTGTCAGGACTGCGCTAAACGGAGAGGTGGTTCCGTGTAATTTAATTTGTTACTAGCATTGCTCGCAACTTCCTCAGCATGGATTTAAAAAAGCCTATCTCACTACCACTAAAATTTTCTTTTCAAACTTTGTTCAAACTACTTTCTATGAAAAGTCTGTTTAAAACCAGTTTAGCTGTATCGGAGATTATCCGAAAGAAGCGCGGCCTCGTGGATAGACAGTATAAAAGGGAAAAAGAGTTTTTGAAGTATCTTATTTATATTCATTAGCTATATACTTATATATATATCATAGAGAACCGGATTATCATCCTATATATCATAGAGAGCCTGATTGTCTAAGGTATAATAATTTTATAGACCATGTTGTTAGTACGCATGCGCCTTTCAGGACAACCACGTGGAGTCTCCTGAAAGATTACTAGGATAACATGTACGCTGAGATGGTTTTTAACCTAAAAATTTAGACCGTAAGACTGGTGTGACAGGACCGTGCTAAACAGAGAGTAGGTTCCATGTATCATTATTTGTTACTAGCTATTGTTCGATACTTCCTCAGGGTGGAATTTAAAATGTAGCCTATCTTACTACCGCAAATAAACTACTTTCAATGAAGAGTCTCGAAATAATAAGTTCAGCTGGTTTGGAAATTATCAGGAACAAACGCGGTCATGTACGATAGACATATGACAATTAAAAATGGTTTTAAAATGTTATTTCTGCATTCGGTTGAATAACTCGGTAGACAAATAGTCACATTTTGTGAGGGCTATTATTTTATAGACCATGTTGTTAGTACGCATGCGTCTTTCAGGACACCACGTGGAGTCTCCTGAAAAATTACTAGGACATCATGTATAATGAGAAGAAGATTTTTAGACTGAAAACTTGGACTACGCTAAACTGAAAAATTGAAAAAACGGTTTTTGAAACATATTTTTTATTTTCAATAACTATTGAAAAATAATTGGTTTTTGACGGATTAAAGTTACCGGCCATTGATAATTTTGAGTACTAGCTGAATGTGCATCGGGCATGATAGATGTCAAAGGGACGATCGAATGACTCATGACTGTTGTCATTGAATGGGTGAAATGATGAGCTTTGTTATTACAAAAACAATCGGTTAATCTCTGTAAATGTTTGTAATCCGATTAGATTGTGTTGTGCAGTTTCAATTTAAGGTAGTTGTCAACTAAGGATGGTGTTTCTGATGTTAACCGATTGTTATTTCATTATTTCAGATATGTGGGCATGTGCCACAATGATTATCTGCCACTGGAATTGAATTCTACAAACTGCTCGACACTCCGAAAACTATATACACAGAAATCCAGATTGTTTAAAAGTTAAATATTTCGGAGAAGTTGTTGTTGTTAGTACGCATGCGCCTTTCAGTGCGTCCACGTGAAGGCTCATGAAAAATTACTAGGACCACATGTATGCTGAAATGGTTTAGAGACTGAAAATTTTGACAGTAAGACTGATTGACATGACCGTGCTAAACAGAGAGGTGATTCATATATTATCATTAATTTCTAGCAATTGTTCGATACTTCCTCAGGGTGGAATTTAAAAAGTAGCGTATCTTACTACGACAAAGATAAACTACTTTCTTTAAAATGTCTCGTTGAAAGCGGTTCAGCAATTTCGAAGATTATCTTGAACACACAGGGGACTTGTATATTAGATAGATGATAATTAAAAACGGTTTTTGAAAATATATTTTTAGATTTGATTGAATAACTCTATAGACAGACTGTCAAAATTTATGAGGGGTGTTATTTTATAGATCATGTTGTCAGTACGCATGCGCCTTTCAGGACGACCACGTGGAGTCTCCTGAAAAATGACTAGGACAACATAACAGCTGAGAAGGTGGTTTTTAGTCTGAAAAACCGGATAGCAAAAAGGGTGTATTTGAACTAGCCTAGTTTACTATAATTCTCTCGATTACTTTAACATTTAGCACGTGTGGATTTTGTTTTGTTGTGTTTCGTTCTTTGGTTATGGCTTTTTAATTTGTCATATTTAGTTTATTTATGTTGTTATAGCTTAATTAGTATTAGTATGTAATACACGAAACAGTATTAAAGTAAGAAAGATATTCAAACCGCGATTTTTTCGGGTTTAAGAGTAGAAGCAAATCTAACAAATTGGATATGTATATTTCAATGAGAATTTTTTTGTCTTTAAAATGATTTGATTCTTGAATTAATTTGATTAAACCTTTGTATTTTTATTTTCCCATAATGCTTGTGAAAAAATGAAAAGAGAACACATATAATACAATTAAGAAAATAAATGCAATAATTTTTATAACAACATTACGCTTAAATTTAAAATATACTATCACTTACCTGGTAAATTCACTAGGGAAACTTCCTGCATACCGGCGAGCACATAAATAATTCTATTCGAGTATATATCATGCACCCTCGTCACCAACACATCGAAACTTTTGATGGCAGAGTTTGCGCGGTCAATGAACTGTTTCCAATCCTCACTCGTCCAGGTAACTGTCTTCAGCCCTGGTAGTAGAAGCGAGGAAAGTCGGACCACTTGAGGTAGAAAGAGTGGTCTCACTTCTAACTTAACACGTCGCAGCGTAGCAAGATAATCTTCTAGCAGAAACTGTTAATGAAAATGAAAATTTAAAATGTTCAAGTAGTATTTACTGACTACATATTACTTTAATGGTAGAAAAAACACTATATTAGTATTAATAGGGACTTGCTTTATTATTATCAATTAAAACAAAAATTGATAAGTAAGGAAAGGTGTAGTTACTATGTATTAATATTGTAATAATCGAAGGAAAACATCGTGAGGAAACCTGCACATATCGGCGAAGAAAATTAAAACATAGGTGGGAAGTCAACCAACCCGCACTTGGCCAGCGTGGTTGACTATGGCCTAGTCACCCCTTATTAGGGTAGGCTTCGAGCCCCTCGGTGAGGACATGTACTGAGCTAGTGATGTGTATACTGTAATACTGATATTGTTTTAAAACACAAACCTGCAAAGAATCATTGACGATTGTAAAGTAGTTCTTTTTGGCATAAAGAGAGTGGCACACGATGGGCAAGTCTATGTCCATTTTGACAAGGCAGTCTGACTCTCTTATCAAAAGTTTGATAGTGTGGTCTAAATTGACCGCTATACGACCAGACTCGTCAATTTTTAATAACGTATTATTGAGACTTTCGTCAACATCGCATAACTGAAAAAAATAAAACGAGTTTCTACATTCTAAAAATATTTTGTTATGAAATTTTCGTTTCAGTAAATACTTTAACTGTAAAGTACAACTGAAACTTTGTCTACACATCCACAATTGATGTTCGACGCTTCAATTAAAACTGTCAGAAAACCCGAGCAAATCAACCGTTGTTACAAACGATGCACTATACAACATTAAAGTTTGCGAGACTCTTTGCAACTCATAAATTCCTAGTACACGAATAGTAGCGATAGTTGGTATATTATTATCGATAGTATCACTATGTTGAGACCACCCCGGACTATCTCCTCCACCCATCCCACTACGCGTCGGCGAACCTTGATTGCTTTAATCAATAAAATGTTCGTACGTAATACGTGACGTAGCACTAGTCTCCTGAAGCTTATGTGCTCCTTGTAACTCGTACCAAACTTTATCAATACTTTGGTACCTCAGACCCATTTCCACACATGCGCACCTGTATGATTAATTCTTGATGGCCGTTAGCGGCACTCAAGTTTTCTGTAAGTTACTTATTTTATGACGGATCACCCCATCATTTTAGATCGAGACAGGGCCTCCCTTAGTTATCATCTACTTGACTAAATATTGTACATTTTTATATGACCTCCAACTTTTTAAACTTACGTTCTGGTTCATCCAAACAGCTCGCATAGTATCTTCGTAGTTATGTATGAGCGTGCTCGTGGCCGCGTACTTGCGCATCATGTCGGCGGCTGCGGGCAGCGCGCGCAGCACGGGGTGCGCACACACGTTCTCCACTGTCTCAGTCATGTTGTGCATCAAACAACGCGCCCATTTTATGCGACCTTAGTACATTGATAACGGAAACATGTCATTTACATTTTATACATCAAGTTTTATACGTAGCAAAGTTAACTGAATATAATATAAATGGAATGTTAGGTTTGGTTCTTAAGCAGCGACTAGACTATAAGTAATTTGGCGTTTTAAAAATTGTATTTAATAATGGAAAGTATAAACTAAACGGTCGTTCTGTTTATTTTTTCAAGGATCATAACAGAAAAGGTCCCCATTATCGTATAGTAAAAGCGCTATTAAAACAATTGAACAACAACGTATATTGACTTTCTAAAATCAAGATTTAGCAATTTTAAAATGGAACAATTTCAAAAATTCAATTCACACCTGCTATTGGTGAATAATTTCTTGGTAAAGGCGGGTCATCCTTTTGACGTTTAAACATTTTCATTATTTTGTCGACCTCTTTTTCACAATATTTTAAAACTCTGTCGTACTTTTCGTTCAGTTTTGTTATTAAAATTTTTTGACTGACCTAGAAATTGGAAAAATGTTGGAAAATCGTTAAGCCTGCTGCGGGTATTTTAAATAGCTTTGCCCGCGACTCCGTCCTCGTGAAATTTACAAATATTACCTTCTCAAATCTTGTTAAAAATTTGATCCCTTGTGGCGTTTCCCAGACGCTTGCAAAATTCATTTCGATAGTGTTTCCAATAGATTCTCGTAGTGTGTTAGTTTTTGCCTCGAATGTTTGATAGTCTTTGTCAAATTCATTGTTTCTATAATCTAAATAGTCATACTGACACGTTGTGACCGCTTTTTTAGCCTCTTGGAAAGCGTGCATCGCGTCTTCTAAATCTAAAGTGGAAATAATATGTTGACATAGTTTTTAATAAAAACAAATCCGACCGATTAACCAGAGCAACAAATTAAAAAAGCAGTTTGTTAAATAATACTTTTACATATCATATTCGCACATTATTATTATCTTGGTATTTGTAAAATTAATTGGTTTTAAAATGACCAAATTACACTTATCTATTACTTATACCAGGTTAGTTTTTATTAACTTACCTTCACCAAGCAATAATCCCTCCATTCTCTTTTCAAATAAATTATTGTAATCGTCCATCATGTCAAACATTGCTATAATTTTATTTAGCCTCTTGCAGAAAGTATCAAATTTACCAAACACATAGTTTTCGGAGAAGCTAAACTGCTCAACGTTGGGTAGAAAAGGTTGATTCTTCACGCATATGTAAGTATCTCTGTATGTTTTGTTCAAATTGATGCAGTGTAAGAGTTTCTCGCGAACTAACGCACGTTCTTGTGTCCAAATAGTTTCTTTAAAACGACTTGTTATGTACTGCTTACATGTTTCTATCATTTGATTCGTTATCTGTAAAATTATTTTACATAGATTTCATTTTTTGATAATTTACACCTCCAAATAGTACCAATTACAAAACCTAATCAATATTGAAAAACAGTAATATGAAAGTAATAACTAAATAAATAACACGTAATATAAAAGCTCTATTATCATTATTCGATGTTTTCCCTACGCTTCGTTCTATTAGAAAAAGCCCAGTAGCGTTGGCCGTAAGTATACATACAATTTAGGTACTCTTAAGGGATGACGGTTTCAGTTTCAACACGAATATCGATTTTTACTGAATATGAACCAAATTTATAACTTTTCAATCACAATCCTCGGTAGTATAGTGGTTAGTATCCCCGCCTGTCACGCGGGAGGCCGGGGTTCGATTCCCCGCCGGGGAGATCTTTTAATTTTTGCAACTATAATTTAATTACGATGAAAATAACTACTACTTTTTTTATTCTTACTGCCGATAACTAATCTGGTTGCGGCGGTGCCCTCGCCGAGGCGAGCACGACCAAACACTATCTTCTTAAAGTATAGATTTATAGCATAGTTTAAAAATATTTTTCATAATATGTTTATTCTGTCTTTTTATTGCTTATTTGTATTACTTAATTCTATAATAGCATTAAAATTTGTAAGTTTCAAGTTTTGTTTAGAAAGGGGGCTGTACATTTCGGTTATTTCTTTGTTTTAGTACTCCACGATTTCATGCTTATCTTTATATTCCAAGTACTGCTTTTTCCGAAAATTTATATGTAAATTAAATTTGTTGCTACTATTTTTGGGATCTTTTCATTACATTTTTGTCCTGACCATACGATGGTTGGAAATAAAAACTAAATTAGTTTTGAAGTTATGAATCGATTTTTATTGTAAGTAGCTTTGAAATTAATTCAATTTGGACTTTATAGAAACTTAAGAGCCTTCAATGTTAAAAGATGGGCACTTTATTAAACTTCAATATGATTATCGATTTTTACTGGATATGAACCAAATTTATGTCTTATCAATCACAATCCTCGGTAGTATAGTGGTTAGTATCCCCGCCTGTCACGCGGGAGGCCGGGGTTCGATTCCCCGCCGGGGAGACCTTTTGATTTTTTTTATACACAATTTAATTACGATGAATAGACCAACTTGTGTCATACTAATTATTTAAACCAAAAACTATAAGTTCGCAGTACAGTCTACAAATTTAGCAAACATTTAATTTCCCTTTTTAATAATGTTATGTATATTCGATCTTTTTATGCTTTTACTTATTTGATTACTTAATCCTAATATAACTTTTAAATTTTGTTTGTCTTTTCCAAGTTTGAGGACATGTACATTTTTCTGGGTTTCAAGTATTTATTGAAAAAAGGGGCTCTACAAGGTTATGTCAGTATTGTACGGTTTTATTTTTATGTTGAAATTAATTACTAAGTTAATTTCTAAATTCTAAATAAATCTTAAAATTAATTTCTTAATTAAACTTGTTGCTACTATTTTTTTATCTTTGCATTTTATTCTTGTTTGGGCATATGGTTGGCGTTAATTTTCAAATTAAATTAACTTAGAAGCTTTACGTCATTAATTGCTTTTTTGTTGTTGTAGTTTGCCTAAATAAGATAGATTAGTTTGATAAATGACGCATATGATGTATCGAATTAAATTTGTATGGAGGAAATGTCGTACTTAATAGACAGGTCTTGTAGGGACGAAACAAACACGCATAGCGTACAATTATGAACTATCGATACTCGGTATAAATAAACAAACTGAACAACAATTATTATTTAATTATTGACTAATTTGGGGTACAATTTTATTAATAAATATAGTATAGAGAATATAACGATGACGATAATAATAGCAAAATCCTAATCGATTATGTAGAACTGTAGTTGTAATAAACATTGATTAACTCACATTTTTTCTTTTGGTTTTGTAGTCATTATTGATTTGAGAGACAGTGTTTTTTTATTTTAATCCAAAAGTTATAATCTATGAATCTATTGATTCCAACATCTATGAGAGTAAAAATAGAAAATCGAAGAAGTCTCACCTGATTTTACACAACCCATCCCTATTGAATTGTCAAACTAATCTATCTTATTTAGACAAACTATAGTAGATATGAAGTGTTTTTCATTGATTATACTCCGTCTTGTGATAATCGGTTATTTTTTTCTTTTTGTGGTTTTTTAAACCCCTTTTCAGGATGCAACGTTATACACGCATAAGCGCACTTTCGTACTACAATTTCTTTACTGCGTCGTTGAGAGTTTATTCGAAAATTTAAATTTCCCAATAGAACTTCGGTAAGTATAGTATAGTAGTTATGCATTCTGAAAGTTAGGCAGTTAATAGTAGAAATATATAGTTACTTTTGACAACATAGGTTTAATCGTTTTCCATGATTTATCTCTAGCAGCGAAAGTTAGGTTCTTCGAAAAACCGGCGCTTTATGAAACTTCAATACGAGTATCGATTTTTACTGAAAATGAACCAAATTTATGTCTGTTCAATCACAATCCTCGGTAGTATAGTGGTTAGTATCCCCGCCTGTCACGCGGGAGGCCGGGGTTCGATTCCCCGCCGGGGAGACCTTTTGAATTTTTTTACTATGATTTACTATTTTTTAAATCTTAATTACAGATTAGGAATATTCACAATACAGCCAGTAAATATAGTAAACAAAATTTTCTTTGTTTTAAATATTATTATGTTTTCGGTATACTTTTGTGATAATCAAGTAAACACATTATAACTTTTAAATTTTGTTTGTCATTTCCGAGTTTCAGAACATGTATATGTTAGACTTCGAGCGTATATTAAAATGGGGCTGTACATTTTGTTATTTCTTTGTTGTAGCATTCTACAGTTTCATTCTTAAGTTTAAATTCTCAATTCTGTTTTTTTTTCTATTATTAATTTCTAAATTGAACTTGTTTCTACATTTTTGTATATCGTTCTTGATCTGACCATGTATTGGTTGGTGTTAAACGTGGTTGGTATTAACACTAAATTAATTTTAAACTCCTACGTTATAAAGCTCTTTTACCTTGTTAGTTGCATTGGAAAGTAGACGCTCTATACTTCATCACCTTATACATCAATATGATTATCGATTTTTACTGAATATGAACCAAATTTATGTCTGTTCAATCACAATCCTCGGTAGTATAGTGGTTAGTATCCCCGCCTGTCACGCGGGAGGCCGGGGTTCGATTCCCCGCCGGGGAGACCTTTTGATTTTTTCCACGATAACTTTATTTTGATAAAACGTACTATGTACCCCGTGCTCATATATTTTTTATTTCTAATAAAGTAAACTTATCTAAAATATAACTTACTTTGACCATCAATGATGATATTCTTTCTGAGGTATTGTAAAATTGTGAGACGCTGTGTATTAGTCGGACGGTTTGTAACAGGCTGAGTATCGAGTCGTTAATCTTGACAGGATCATCTAGATAAAGGGAATGACAACATTTTTCCATTGCTTGAATAAATTTTGCATTATCCTTCGCTTCGTTGTAGCAAAATGTTATTTTATGATCTGTATCACGCCAAAGTTTAATTGATCTTGAATTAGCCAGTTGCAAACATGTCAGGGTTAGTTGAACTTCATTATCCTATTTGGAAATGATTATTATTAAACGATATGATTAAAAATAAGGAATTTGTAATAGAAATGAAACGATAGCTAAATGAATATTATAAGACTTTTACATGAATGAACGACATCTCGTTACGGTCTACGATGGCTACACCGCGTAGAGGACTACGAAGCGTAGCACTGCTACGCGGTGTAGCCATCGTGATACAGAGGTCGTTGTTTTCAAATCGGGAATCCAACACAATTTTATTATGATATTGATTTAAGTGTAGTAAATGTAAATTTTCACGTATAGGTGATTTAATGGAAGGGCAATATTTGAATCAGCGTTTTAAAATTTCCTTTCCTGAATACATATATCTAAATAAAAGAAGTAATTGACTAACTGTTATATTAAATCACATTCTAACCTACGTAAGGTTAACACATTGCACAGAGATTTCTACAGATGGCAGGAATCATATGAATTCATACCCCAAATATCTAAAGTAGAACATGAAAGTTTTATGTGATTTTTTAATTCAAGCTAACGAAGGCGATAGGAATAGTTATTTTTATGTATTATATACATTGTAACTGACCTGCAAATACGATACCAGCTGTGAAAACTGTGCTCCTCTTTTCTTCCAGTATTCGAGCTCGTCCTGTGGCCCGCTGGAATCTACCTCACGACGTAGCTGTTCGCTCTCGCTGAGTATCTTCAAATATATAATGTAAGATAAAATAATCGTAGCATTAGGTATGTGGGCAAATATAAAATATTGAGAAATTTAAATGATTCTAAGGCAAAGAAACTTTAGTATCTTAAAATGTACGAGTATTGTACCAGTGCAGTTAAAACGTGAAGTATTTTTTGTTGTCTTCTTTATTTTATTTTTTTTCATTTTCATTTAATACCCTAAAATAGATTCCGCATAAGTATTGGAAACCTTAATCTTTAGTCGCTATAGATTTATAAATATTTACAAACAAGTAAAGTTTAAATTACCTCCATAATTTTTTTCACCCATTCGTCAACCCTTTCTTCTAGCATAGTTATTGTGTTAGGATTTTTGGTCATCTCCTTTAGTTCGTTATGATCTTGTAGGTTAGTCATTATAGCTTTCCCATCATCAAATAAATTCACTTGATTGCAAACATCTTCACATACTACAAAAATAATACATCTTTGTAGAAATCATTAGTTACAGTAACACAACACTAGTTTTCACGAGAATCCCACGCAATATGACTTACATTATAAAAACAAGAAAAGATATTATTTACTTCATTAAAATCATTAAACTGAGTATCACTTTAGAAAATAAAAGTTTGGGTTACTTTGATTTACCTTTTAAAGCACTACAAAAAGATCTAAGTCCGGGTAGCAATTGATTCTTCACAATTGGAAATCTAGTTTCATCTTCGTCGCCATCGCTGCTCGGGTGAGCCAGAGCGTTCATATACACGTGCTCCATTACACGTTCTATAGCCGTCACCAAACCTACTTTACCAGCGTTTAAAATCCCACAAAACCTTAAAACCATGACAATAACGTGCTACGAAATCCAATACAAATTTAATGAAACATGTGTGCAATAAACATTTTACTCACAAATCTTTATGAAATCCTTCTTCAGGTAACTGCTTACTGACGTTTATTCTGAACATGTAGATACATATGCCAGTGAACTTTACGTCCCAACCATCGGATAAAAACAATTTCTTCTTGAGTGTGACTTGCGGAGGCGGTAGTTTCGCCTGGCCCTGCTGTCGAGGCTTGCCCTCCACTGGCGGACGCTGTTCAACTTCTTCCACATCTTGGTAATACCACAGAAGTTTATTTCTCATGTGTGGGAGAAACAGTTGGTTGATATCGTCTAACTGAAATACATTTCATATATTGGCTTTAATATCACAACGGTATGTTCCATAGCAATCATTGCACAGATTTTTTTTTGGAGGATCGACACAATAAAAACTTTTCACAATCGACTATAAACAATCACAGCTAAATATCATTTGCACATATCTATCACACAATCCTTGAGTATTCACTTCGGTAGGCCTTTACTTTACTACCTTGTATATGTTGTATGTCTATGATTATATCTATTACCATGTTTCCTTCGAAAACATGATCCATTATAGCATGTCTTGGCAGCCCCGTCCCGTCGATCAGGAGTTGGAATGTAAACTCCAGACGGGGGTCCATCTCCCCCCTTCTTGCTTTGCGTTCGCATTCTTCTCGTCTTTTCTGGAACACATCAACAGGTTAGGTAGGCTAAATGACACAAAATTAAACGAATTAGTTTTTAATTGCTGATAAACTATAAGTGTTCCTCAGTTATTCTTATCTATGATTTTTGCTTTTAACAGATACAGAGGGGTGGTAATACTGGTGGCACGACAATGAAGATTCGCTGTTTAATTAATTCTGATTAAAATTGTTATTTGTAGATTTATTTTCCATATGATCATTGTGAACAATGTAGAATATACATATCTGTTTTTATAATAAGAAAAATGTATTTTATGTTTGAGGTAAATGTTTGTTAAAAAATATATATTTTTATTATGTAAGGATCACTTTAACTCTCCTTTTTTTAAGCAAACCTGCAGAATGTCCATCACATCTTCTTCTTCCTCTTCTTCACTAGAGCCAGGTTTAATGTTATATACAAACATTGTCAATAATTATATTTGTCTTTATTCAAAATGCAAACAAATGAACAGTTGAATTTTATATATTTTAAACATTCAATTGTTTATCGCTTTAACTGGATGCATTTATTACTTTACTAGTTTACGTTAAGCAAACTTTTATGTTAATACAAATTTCCTGAATGACATGTATCGGTGACAGACTTTGTTAGCATTCTGACTGTTGAGGCGGACTTAAAGGCAACGTTTCTCATGAAACTATTATTGTAATATGCAAATTAAGCGGACAAATTGAAGGTGTCATTAAAATGGAAGGGGATGGTACGGCGTCGCACTTGCTAATACTAATAACAAAGTCGGCACGCAAGCTTTATTAAGTCCACTATACGCAATTATAGCACGGAAGATATTTGCTTAGAACAATGTAAATGGTTGCCATTTGTTCTTTGACATAAAGCACAAAATAACGTTTAGGTAGAATTTTAAAACATTTTATAACTTAGGCTATACTTCGATTTTAATTTGTACCACTTAGTTTTGATGATAGGTATGTTACCGTCGGCCATGTATTGGTACTTATAAATATTTGAAGCAGGAGAGTTAAGTTTTCATTTTACTTTATCTTTGTTATTTACAATTATAGGAAATAAGAAAAATTTGTCTATATCTAAGAAACTGTCCCCATACGGTTTCATCCGCATGGAATTATAAAAACTTTATTTTATTGTTTACATTTGTCAAAATGACATGACATGATAACAAACACATTAGGGTTTTTATCTAAAATATTTACCCCCTAAGTTTAATGGCGTGAAAACATATAGCCTAAAGCGTGACGTGTGTGTAGGGCTTTTTATTAAAAAATAATTATTCAAAAATCTGTAATTATAGACATCTTAGGCAACAAAGAAGTGTGTGTTTAGGCTTTATTATTTTAGTAAAGATAAGAAAATTTTGTATTTTTTTATTTCTCAGATAAAGACAGTATCGGCAACAGGTAACGGTTTATTATTTTCTTTTAATAAAAAAAAAACATGCGCTAGGAAAACTAAATACTTTTTAAATAACCTTTAACATAAAGTTTTCATATTAATGTTTGGTTTTATATAAATTACCAGTAAGTCTATTTTCATTTTTAAATTCATGATCGTTTCTGAGAATAACAACTAATTATATATCAAATAATACTTACAAAATTATTGATAACTCTTCCAAAAACGGTTAGATCCATTTTCTTATTAAAAAAATCACATATAGTCAAAAATTTCTTAGTATGTAATATTCTACAAATTTATCGGAAAGGCTATAAAAATCCGATATATTTGAACAAAGAAGTATGCAGTACGCTCAAATGCGTGCTAAAGAAATCACAAGACTAAACTCAAAGAAAAGCTTCACAGCACGAAAATTGTTCCGAATTTTATGCTCACATGACAAAAGATAAAATCTATCGTGTTCCCACTAGACATAGTGGCATTTATCACGAAACCGTAAAAAACTTTTTGGCTTTTACAACTTATCAAACGCAAATTACTACTTTGCTTTTATAGTCGACACACTTTATTAAAATCTATGTAACGGTGTAAATTTGTAATATCATAAACAATTATTTTAATTTTTTAAGTTCTATTATTTAAAAAAAGCTGTCTTTGGAGAAGGCTTTTACCCTATACGAGGTTAATAATTATTACACAATGTATACATATTATTTTGTACGTTTATAAGTTATATTCTGTATGGAGTTAATAAAGCTAATAAAAAAAACGGTGTAAATATTTGAAATCGCACTATTACGCTAATATTATAAACGAGCTGTTGCCCGAGACTTCGTCCGCGTGGTATTAGCAAACATACGAACTATATAAATAACAAAAAGCTACGTATCCCTCGGGAACCGGACACCTCGGGGATGAAGCTTTTCCCATGTATACTCCACTTTGTTTTACATCTGTGCCAACTTTCAATATGACATGTTGAACCGTTGCAGAATGATCGAGTAAACATTAAAAAACAAAATTAATGAATTCCACAGTAACCGTAACTTATCCCGGGATAAAAAGTAGCCTATGTGTTCTTCCAGACTATGCTCTAAACCTGTGCCAAATTTCATGGAGATCCTTTTAACCGTTTAAGCTACAAACGCTAACAAACATCCATCCATCCATCTAAACTTTCGCATTTATAATATTAGTAAGACATTTATAATATTAGTAAGACATTTATAATATCAGTAAGAAGTAAGATGCGAAAGTTTAGATGAATGTTTGTTAGAGTTTGTAGCCCAAACGGATGAACGGATTTTGATGAAATTTGGTATAGATGTAGAGGATAGTCTGGAAGAACACATAGAATACTTAGAACACATAGAACACTTTTGTTTTTTTTCTTCCACGGGAACAGAATCGCGGGCTAAAGCCAGTATTGTATATAATAATTGAATAAGTTATCATTTTTCGAAAAGGAGTATACATACAAACATGCCGGTTGATCTTGGTAAAGAACTACATGTAAAAAGAAGTAGCCACAGCGCTATTAGAGACAGTAATCTAACTCTGTACCAAACAAGCAGATCCGTTTAGACGTTTTGATATTACATATTATTACGATTAGTAAGAATTAAGATCTCAAATCACTCATTGTTTCAAAATATCAGAATATGTACAAGGTTAAAAGCGTCTAAGAATATAAAATATATGAACCTTTTAAACCTTTAAGGAACATGCAATCACACAATATTATAATGGCAATTTTCTCATACACCATATACCGGCGGGCTAGAACCCACCCCAATTTAAAGACGACTTTAACTACCTTTACCAGAAACTGTGGAAAAGCATTGATGCATGCATTGTTGACTGAAAAATAAGTGCAATAAGGCGAACCGACAACCGGGCAACTAGGTTTTTGTATAACGTAATTTTACCTGAACAACAAGATCCACCATTTCCTCGACTACAACTCGCACTAACACAAAGGCTAAGGAGTCCTCTCAAGATACCAGACACCATTTCCCGAACATGTCAAGTTACTATATCATTTGACTGACTAGAGCTTTATGTCGTGTCAATTCGATATCGCAGCGTGTTCGATTTCGTTTTGTTCCATAAAAAATGTATATAATTTGCAAAACCCGAAAAGATTGCCTAAGGTTGCGTGATAAGCAATGATGGATTTTTATACAGAAACTAGAATACACCTATATGATATCATATAGTTATATTAGGTACGGTTTCGGTGAAATTTTTTGAAAGACTTCCCAAAAGAAGGAGGTACTTAATTCGTCTGTATGTTTTTTTTATTTTTGACCGACTTCCCAAAAGAAGGAGGTATTCAATTCGTCGGTATATTTATTTATTTTTTTTTTTTTT